GAAAGCAGAAGGAAATATATTCCTCAAATATTCAAGTTGTAAAAGCAATAAGAGCCTCTAGAAATGTTTTGAAATAAACAACTCAGTGTGGGATCTGCCAGACACTAGACCTTATAGTGGTGGTGGGTAAAACATCACCCGTAGAAAGACAACAGACAAAACTGGGATTGGGATTATAGAACGATGCAAGTACTATACCCAGGTTAAACTTGTTGAAGCTTCGCCAGTGAACTGTGCTTATTTAAAAGAGCATCTCTATTTGGGGGATAAAAACATTGAAGTAATAAGGCTAAGATGCATTTAATGTACACAAATGAAGAGAACCCATAGATGAGAAAGAAAAGGGGGTATATTATCGGTTATAGATCAATTGGAAAGGGACATGAAAACTTTTTGGGACTTGCAAATTGTTTCAAAATAAAAAATATTTCAAAGTATTTGGAGGAAGCTACAGAAAAATAGAGGAAACTCTTATACATGGAAATGTTTTCTATCATTACATTTGTTAAAACACATAAAATTGCTGATTTTTATTAATTCATACTGCAATTAAGCTTATTGAAAAAGGCACAAAGGGTAAGAGTCCATTATTTGGGAAGGTTCTGTATTCATTTAAGGTAGAAAAAGAGTAGAAAACTTGCATTTGCTTCACTGTTTCGTGGAGGGAGTATTGCTGAGGTTTAGTTCAGCCAGGATGCAAAAAGTCACATATTCCCCACAAAAAGTCACATATTCCCCATTCTGAACTATATTATGACATCAAAATTAAGCTTTTCTCTATTTCTTTTAGTGGTTAAAACACATAAACTCAATGAGATGTTCCTGAGGGGTCCTTCAAACCATCTCAGTTCCCGAGAACCCCAATTTCCATCTCACAAGTCCCTCTTGGTGGGTGGGGAGAAGTTGATGCATGTCCCACATAAGCCCCCAAATAGGGATGGTCATTGGCATCCTGCCCTCCCCATTTTTCAAGGCCCTACTCAAAATTCCTCAATCAGAAGCTCCACTTTTTTTTTTTTT